TGAACCATGCTTTCTTTGATCACAGTAACTCTGAATAAGCTAGTTTGGTTCAATCAAAAGAAAATGATCTATAAATAAATAATTATTTTTATTTGCGACAATACTACTCATAAAATGCAAGCATTGCCATTAGTTTTATTACAGATGAAAAGTGTTTTATGCAAAAAATTTCATCGCAAAGATAAATAGTACAATAACGAAAGTTAACTTAAAAGTTACGATCCACAAATGCTAATACAAAAATACAAAAAAGAAGGCAATATCGCAAATATGCAAGAATAATTGGAACATTTATTTTGCATGTGAGTGTCTTCGCATAAATCGTCTACCTAATGTATTTGTCATTCTGTATTTTTACAAAAACTCGTTTGAAAAATTTTAATTTACAAATTAGTCTTTTCTCAGTGGAATAATCTCAATTTTTTATTTAAGAAACACTGCAAAATTAATTAGCATGCGAATTCATTGTTGTGCATTGAATAACAATTCCATCAATTTGTATATTTTTGATTTTAATGCCAAAGATCAAAAATGGAAAGATGTGAGTGAGAGTAGAAATCATTTCTGTTACAGCAGTTTGTACAATAAATGTAAATAAAAATGATTGATAAAAATGCATGAAATGAATGAGTAAAAATTCTTTAAGAATGCAAAAAATATCATTAGAAACAAGTAAAAAAATTAAACTCATCGTAAGATTTTAAAAAAGCTCAACTTCATATGTTTATTTGAGTTTGAAATAAAATATATAATACTTATTCACTCAGTTAATTAAAAACTTGTTAATAATAAAGAGAACAAATATTAAGTACTCAAATTCAATTTTTAATTTGATTGAGTTTCGGAAAAGTGCACAGAACAAAGAGAGTAGCAATCAACACAATTATTACTTTGATCATTTTAGAGCATCGATGAACAGCTGTGTGCTACATATAACTGATTTTATATATCATTCATTCTAATGCATATTTACTTAATAAAATTGAGCCAAATTTTAATACTTTGATAAATCAATAATATTTTATTGTAAAAAATAGCAAAATGTAGAGGATAACTCTTCAATATTACAAAAAGTTACAAAAGTGATAGCAAAAATAGTTTTTCACATTTCAAAGTGGAGTATTATTTCTGGAGGAATCGATAAAAATCTGCGAAGAATACTTCAGAAATTGTTGAGATTTTTTTTTAAATTTTTAGCGATCTTTTTTTAATTTTTTTGATAATATGATACAGGAAATTTGTACATTTTTATCATCTTTACATGATATATAATAGGATTACTTTTAATCGAGAAATTCCAAACACAATCATTCTATCCATTCAAGACGAAGATTAATAATTTGAGACAGCTAATTTATTTGAAAATGTTCAGTTTTAGAAACTAAAATAAAGAATTTTGATTAATTTACACAGAAATCAAGACAATTGATGCATTTTAAAAAAATTTCATGCATTTTTATGTAAAAAATAGCTCCATAACTCATTCAAGAATTCTTATTCAGGAAGAATAAATTAAGCTTTGTAGAACGAACAATTTTATGATAACAAAATATTAAAAAATACATCTAATTCTTTGTAGCATACTAAGTTAATACCACAATTCTACTTGGAAAACTTGAACTTTGCAATAATTTTCAGATTTTCTCAAGATTGCATTTATTATTAATATGCAAAAATTGAAGTAGTTTCTGAATAGGAAAGTTTGTGAAAGGATTAGAAGATAGCAGACACTCATTTAAAAAAGTCCACACAAAGCATTAACAAAGCTCAAAAAGTAACCAAGAATGAAAAAATTTAAATATTGTTTGTAACTTTTTAGAACTTTTGGTTATATAATCAGTGATTAATAAAACTACTTCAAATTTCAGAATAGTAAGTAAAAACATTGTAACTTTTGGAATTAAATGATTTTCAAAAACAAAAGTTTTGCATGTAAAAATATACTAATAATTAATTTCAATCAAAAATAATTAATGAACTGATAATTCAAATTAAATTTAATAATTTTTCAAATACGATGTCACGTTTGCAAATCTTATCAGAAATAAAAAATAATTTCTGTCATTTATTAGAATTATGAACATTTGATTCCATGTACAAAGCTTTGAATTCAAGCAATCATTTCAAATTTTTTCGATTCAATGAACGGAAACGATATAAAAAGGCATAGTTGGAGTGAGTATAAATGAATATGCTGAAGCGTAGAGTTGCTTTGCAAAAATTCAAGCAAAACAGTAAGTACATGTAAATGTACTAAAATTTCGTCGTATATTACCTTAAAATCAAAATTTGTCAATTATATGCTGCACAAATAATTTTCTGATTGAAAAAATAATTGCTAAATTTGTTTTTCTTGAAAACTGACATTTAATTTTGCACAACATTTCGATCATTTGGCTTTTCACCATTCTTTGAAATCAATCTGGTTCTGTCTATTTTTTTGAAAACTTTGAGGGAAAGAACGAAATTTTGATGAAATGAAAAAATCATATTAGTCCTTCAAGAAAAAATGCAATTTATTAAACTTCCCTATTTTCTAAGTTGCAATCAAAATTCCTTAATCATTTTCGTCAGAACAAGTTTATGTAAGAAAATAATCGCTACATTTGTCTCTCTTGAAAGGTTGCATTCATTAAGTATATTTTATTGAATATAAAGAAACTCGGAAAATTATATGAAAATTAAAAAATTGGCATTTTGTGTGAGTTTTGGTTTTAAAAGCAATATTATTAAACTTTGATTTTATACTAAAGCAAAAGAGTAAGTCTAAACTGAGTTTCACTTCAAGTTTTATCTAAAATTTAATCCATTAATCCGAAATCTTTTCAAGACGATAAAAACGCTTTACAAAGAATTTATAGTAGTTGTAAATTTATAAATAAATAGAATGCTTTGCAAACTGACTTTAAAATTTTTCAAAGAATTTTTGCATCTTTAAATTATATCAATCAGTTCATAGTTCAAAATCTTAAAACTAACAAGAATGATGAAGAAATGAATGGAATGTTTGCTTATAATTACTGTAAAAAATTTAGCATTACTAACTGCGTATCAATATTTTAAAAATATGTACTGATCGGAATAAATCAAATGTATGATCTGCAAAGTTATGAATATAAAATAATAATCATTACTTTGAGAATCAGCAAAGTTAAAGCAAAATCAAGTTTTTAATAGACAAAGTGAGGCCATAGGCATTGAATCATCAAACAAAATGTTCTAAAAGTTCGCGTAAATATGATATGATCAGTAATTAATTCTTGATTATAAAATGCTACGGATTTTGAATACCTATTTTGGGAATAAGTATTACTTTGCTCAATAACTCAAATTAAATAAATTAAAATAATAATATTTTGCTTTTATAGTGTTGGTAAATTAAAAAGAACGAGAAGTACTGATAATTAATTATCAGTGAAATCGATACTTTCATTTGTTTTCTCTCATTTTCAGACTCCTAAAAATAGTAAAATGTAACGAAATCTTAAATTACATTGATAAACTAATCTAGCAAACACTGTTTCCCAAACAAAGACACGCAAAAACTAATTCTAACACTGACTGATCGAAAATAGTAAATTCATATTCAAACTAAGTAAGAGACACGCAAAAACTAATTTTTGAATATTTGATTTTTAATTTAAATTTGTGAAAAAATGTTTCACAGTAATGAAAGCATCAAATTAAAATTTATCGGATTAAACTGAAATACGAAACTTTTAAACTATGAAATTCTTTGTTACACAAATAGTCTTTAAGCAAACTAAAATCATAAATTCAAACGATATTCTAACATTACAAATATATGAAATCGTCATTATGTAACTTAGTTGAAAGTCGATTTCCTAAAGTATTATAATTATGAATAAGAATAAGAATAAGAATAAGTGGCAAGTAAACCTGAATTGACTTTTCAAACTTTTTCCTCTCAGAACTTTTATTTTATAGTGACAAGTTAATAAAAAATGTGAAGGCAAATTTTAAACTTAAATACTCCAAAAAGATATCAAGCGAATGATTTCAAATTTTGCAAGTTCGCAGTCAGTGGCAAAATTTTTTATGCAATTTGAATCAGTTCTAATTAACCTATACGACTCTTTCTTTCAGTATTAAAATATTCTTCAGCTTGGATTTAAATTTTCAACTTCAAATTAAATTAAAAGATTAAGCTCAATGATAATTCTTATTTTAACGATTATTACAGCATTCTCGTTATTGAGTAATGCTTGAAAAGTTTTTGCTCTATCAAACTTCAATCTAACATAGTCCTTTCTATCACAAGAATTCTTAATAATCTGCTTAATCAACAAAATACGAACAATTTATTAATTTTTTGCATTATCAAAAGTTATTGCTAGAATTGAAGACAGAAACAGAGACGAAAAAGTGATTGAAACAGTCAAAGCAAAAGTTTGGAATAGTAAATTCAGAAAAAGCAATTAAATAATCAAGCATAAGGTTTATTTTCATAAGGTAAACCTTTTATTCTCAGTCATTCCGAAAATGAGTTTAATAATGACTTCAATTAAATGTGGAAGTGAATTTTTCAAAAAGTCACCAACCTTGCAAATGACCGTTGGTGGTAAGAATATGCACGGGTCGAAGGTTGTTCTTCTTTAAAGTAACGACTTTTATAAAAATTGACCGGTTTTGTATGATCAAAGTGGTCATTATCCTTATTGTCACTGTTGTTATTATTATTATTAAAAGTAGCCTAAAAAGTGAATTTTTATCCTCAAACTTGCAGGTAAAGTAATAATCACATACTGTAGCGTAATCTTAAGCACCTATTTTATGAATAATTTGCACCAAAATGAATGAGTCGTAAAAAGAAATGAGTTTTTATAATTTACGTTTGAATATTTCTCAAAGATGCAATTCAGAAAGGATATTTTCGCAAGAATCTTGCATTTCCATATTTGTTTCTCGATAAAATACATTATTTAGCTCATTTCATAAGCGAAATTCAGTACTAAAAGTTTTATTTGTAATATTTGATACTAAGAACCAAAAGTACCAACATATACGTACAGTTCATATTTTATCAGTGAAAAACTCCATTCCGCTTTGTTCATTTTTAGACCATTTCGTTTTGCTATTTTCATGATAGAAACGAAAACTTTGCAAGAGATTAACTTCAACAAAACTCTTACATTTTCAACTTTAATTGGAATATTTCGTACAATACCATATGTTGGCGAGCCGATATCACCATTTGACATATGGCGTAATGAAGCGTTTTTGTAACGCTCCAACGGTGAAAACGGAAATATGCGATCGAATAATGAAGCTAAAAAAATAAAGTGAAACAGAAAACATCTCTGACGTCGAAAGCGTTTATACAAATTCACATTATATTAAAAAAACTGTATTTCATGCAATGAATTACTCTTTTTTCTTTCACAATAGAAATTTTGCAAAATTCAACAAATAGCTAAATGATGCAAAAAAAATTTGATTAGTCAGATTTTCATTTTTAAAAGTAATCATCGATAATGTATTTTCCAAAGTTATTTTTTATAAAATTTAGGTATTTAATAAATTGAAATAAACGATGGCTAGTCTTTACAATCTTGGAAAGTTGTTAAATTAGTAATAAATTAAGGAATGACAGGTTTTTCTTGATTACATATATTTGCGTATTATTTTCCTTATTTAATTTGAATTACATTGCTTGTAAAACGTAATTTTATGCAAAAATAAAAATAATCAGACTTGTATCAAATCCAGATGATCTATTAAATTCATTCGAGATCGGTGATTGAATGCTGCTATCCTTGTTGATAAACGATTTTCCGACTCCACTACCAAGCATAAATCGTCGTTTTTTATCGTTATTATTAATACTATTACTATTACTATTACTAATATTATTACTATGGCTACTGTCGGTCACTGGTGACAAAATTGACTCCTAAAATTGGATCTTGTCATTTCACTTCAAGAACTTATTAAAAAATAAATTTGAGATGAATGAATAAATTATCAAGGATCAAATTTGGCATTCAGTTAGCATAAAGCTCAAACAATTCGCAATTATTGAGTTGTCATTTAGAAAACTGAATATTCAATGCAGCATAACAATATTTTTGACTGGCAAAATGTTCAGTCTGAAGTAAAGAATGAATTTCTGAGATAGGAAATTCGATAAGATACATAGCCATTGCATTACAAATGCTAGTAAAAAATAACTTTTATATTTGGTAAAATTTATTCTGAAAATAAATTCAATAATTATTAATCTAATTTGAGCATTCCTACTTTTATTCATTATATAATATAGCATAAAAGCATTGAATTTTATTTCTTTAACAAAAGAAATTAGTGAAATTTTGAACACTTTTCTATTCATTTACTGGCACAGAAATGAAAAGAGTGAAAACTTTTCTCGACTACTTTCTACCCTTTCTGCAAATCATCCATACTTTTTATATTATACAATTCCTGTTCTATTCTATCGGTCTATCCATCTATCTATCTATCTATCCATCTATCTATCTATCTATATACCTATTTATTTATTTGTTTACTTAATTTCTCATTAAAGTAAGTGTACAAAAGCATCAGCATTTGAGGGATAAAACTTCCAGTTTTTAATTTGGCAGGCAATAAATCGAATTTGCGCACTAATACTTTATATTTAAAGAAATGCTAAATGCAACAAATTTTTTTAGATTTATTTCATTCGCTATTTAATTAAATTTTCATTTCAAGTTTCATTTTTTTCTTCAAAAATAAAACTTTTTTCTTTTTAAATTCATTCCTCAATTAAAAATTTCTCAGCTGTGACTGATTTTTTTCTTCAAAAAAAAGATTCTTTCTTTTTAGTTTAATTCATAAAAATATGAACTTGATTTCTTCCTTAGTTTTTTACTGGAAACTTAAAATTTTAATTAAAAAAAATTACTAGAGGAAAGTTTAGAAAATAAAAATACTCAACTCTATTGTTATGGATGAGAAGAATATAAGAAGTAAATTCACTAAAAGTCATTATAAGATTTCAAAAATCGACAAAAAATAATGTAAAGCAAAAATGCAAAAAGGAAACTGGAAGCTGTGATCTTACTCATAATCAGATGAGAAGTGAAGATTTAGATCAATTACTATTACTCATCAATCAATCAATAAATTAATCAAGTTACTATTTTTCTAATTTTGTCGAATAGAAAAATAGTAATCAATGCAATGTCGTTCAATAACTTTGATTTTATTTGAAACTGAATATGTAATTTAAAAATAATACTTTCAAAATCACTGATAATTTTCACTTCAAAATTGCTGAAAATATTTGCTTCAATCCACTATTTCATGTTTCTACTCCGTCATTTCATGCATATCTTCAAATCCTTCAAATTATTCTCAGACTAATTTATGCTTTTTGAAGTAATACTTATTAGTGAATGGACACTATTATTGCCTGTAATCAGACTTAAAAATGCTCCAATGAAAGTATTAGTAAAATGATATCTGAGTAACAAATATTAAGAACTTCCAAAAATTGTCAATTTTTTTTAGATAATAGTGAAAATATATTATAGCTAAAGTTGATCATACGTAATGATATTTACATATGTCAGAAATGAAAATTTGAAAAATGTTTGAAATAAAATAGACAAATATACGCATTTGCTCTTCATATAAAACCATCTCATCTCAGCAAACATTTTTTAAGCAAGTATGCCAATTCCAACTACCCACACATTCAAACACACGCACACACACACACACACACTCAGATATACACGCAGACAAACACATGCCTATGCACCTGTACAGGTAATTGGTGATTGGAAAAGGATTAAAATTGTTGGGTAGTTTCTGGCAAAAACACTAGTAAACAACCATGCTTACTTGCTGTTTGCTGGTCATGACACTGAAGTACGTGGAAGCACGCAACGATGAAAACAAATTCAAATAGAGAAGACAAAATGAAAATTTGAAACAAAAATATCTCATCTGAATTTCTCATTTCATTCTGCTTTGTAAGAATGCATTTAGAACTTTGGATAAAAACCTATTACTATAATCGTATTATTTATTATTATTATTTTTTTTTTACAATTAATTTTATCTGCGAATTTAAGTCAAAAAAAAAATTATCACAAATTTTTCAACTATTTTGACGTTTGAAATTTGTGAGTAAATAATTTCTAAGAAATTTGAGATGAAAAGAGATTCACTTGTCGAAAACTGTGTTTTTATTTTTAATTTTTTGGTATGCAAAGCTCATTTATCAGCAGTCATTTCATCTTCTCTAAACTTATACACAATTAGTATTAACTGCCATAAAAATTTATTGCTTCCAAAAGTAATATATAAAAAAACGATTGCACAACTAATAGTTGTAATTACGATTAATTGAAAGTTTACAAAAGACGAACTGATGACTGATAAATGCATGATTATTTATCATACCTGAGATGATAAACTGTGCTCGAATCGATGTAACATTCGTAAGCGATTTGCCGGTGCAATGCCCCTTCTCCCGTCTTTATTAATACAACACCACCAACCGGAGTCAAAACCTTCACCAGTCCTCGTACCTGAAATTATATCGCATCTGTATACATAGAAGCAAACTCTACTGCCACTTCGTATAAAGCTACTAAATTAAAAATTGGCTAAAAATTAACCAAATATCACTCAAAGGATAATAATCATAATTCTGAGAAAAATTTAACTTCACAATACAATATCGCAAATACTAATTGTTCAAGCTCACTGCGCAAATGTATTGAGTAAATACTGTCAGTATTAATAGACTGTGTATCATATTTGTTAGTAGATTAAACAACAATGCTAAAATCATGATATCAGTGAACACAAGAAATTTGAAAAGTATAAGATTGGTAAGGAAAATGTACAGATCAAATTTACATAGCAACAATCAAGAGTAACTCGGAACCAAGCAGCTAATTAATAAATAAACTTTTACAGTCATAAAATGGCCTCAGTCAGTGTAAAACTTCAATAATTCTCAGTTTTTAACTGTTAATTATTTTGTGAATAATAATGGTAACAAAGAATGAAACTAGTGGAGAAGATAATAAAGCAATAAATTCTAAAAGATACTAAAACAATTTACAATAGTCAGTTGGGGTCATTTATAGTGCAGTGTTCATGCAAAAAGTAAGTCATAATATTACAGCAAATAACAGCAATTTTTGTGATTATTAAGCGTGAAGGATTATAATAAAAAACACAATTACTCTTTTCGCAGATATTTTTGCATTACACAAATTTACAAAACCTGTGAAAAGTGGAAATGGATATAAATGAGGTAAGCAATAGATTTTTGGAATAAATTGAAGAGCAGCGAAAAATTCAAATTTTATTATTAATAAATTCATTCAATCATTACTGATTAATTAATGGCTTTTCTCATTTTTATTTTTTGCAGCTAACTGAAGCAAACTTTTGACCTTTACTGAATTTCGCTCCAAAAATGCTAGTATTTGGTGAACAAAGTAAATTCATATTTGAGCTTTTGGCAGTAAGTTGATCTTGTTTTGTTGATAAAACTACAATTATGTGCAATAAAATTTATTTACTTTTGAAATTTAACTATCTCACTTTTCAGGAAAAATGTATTCCCAAGCTATGGCATTTATTATATAAGTACTTTCACTGCTAATTATCATTTATGAGATAAGAATAGATTGATTAAAGTTCATAGATTAGAGAGTTTTCTTCCAGGTTGATGAGGAGTAGATTCATGAATATATTTCGTGCCTTCAATTTCCAGTTTATATTGAATTCAAACAATTACTTACGTGTATAACAACAAGATAAAAGTGCTAGCTTTTAATCTGAGATAGATCTTTTTTTGAATTTTTGTCAAAAACAAAATTTTTTCTATTTTTCTTTTTTTTGCATTCATTTGATATTTTATGCTAAACGTTCAAATTTTTCGTCAATTAAATTACAAACTGATATTAAATATTGAATTTTGTTCAATGAATAATTAGTAGAAGTTAATTTTCGCTTTTTATTGATCACCAAAAGATCAGCAGCAATCATTATATGTAAATGACATCAGGAACTTTATATGAACGAAAAATTTGAACGTTTAGCATAAAATTATTAATTAACTATTTAATTAAAATAAAACATTTATTTATTTTAATTTTTATTTTTTTCGCGCATTTCCTATAAATTTCTACATCTCAAAGTAGTAGTTTTCAAAGCAAAAAAATAGAAAAAAGTAAATTGTATAAATTTTTAAATGTGAAATTTGAGTGGAAAAAAAGTCGAGAAGGTTTTAGTGTGTATTTACACGGACGTAAAAATGATAAACTTTTTTGCAGCATAAAATTTATTGGGCAAATGCATTTTATGACAATTCAATTTTACGATGAAAAAAACAATTTTGCAATAAATAATTTTTCAACTTTTCAATGAACTTTTTGAATATAAAATGGCAAATTATGGATGTAAAAGAGAATTTCCACTCTTTTCATTCCAAATTGACATTTACTCAAATAACTTTACATATCATTCCAACATTTCTCTTTTCTGATAGTAACAATTTCAAATTCGCTCTCATTTTTTACTTTTTTATCCATAATTTTATGGTAAACAAGCAATTTATCACTTTTAGATAACTTATGAATGATAAATATTCTTTGCAGTTTTATTACTCACTTTGCGACTAAAAAATTAACGCATAAATTTTCAGAACATATTTAATTTTATGTTTTGTAAGTTCGAATTTTCCGACAAAAAAGAAAATTTCTGAAAAAAATGTTAAAAAATGATTTTTTCGTTTTTTTCGCAGAAATAATAAGAGCAAAATTTATACACCTAACAAGCTTACAAAACAACAAAAATTTACAGTAAAGAAATTTGCTGTATACAAAATTCATTTCAAGAAATTTGGATCTTACTGGCTGATAATATTTTAAAATATTTTTTTAGTGCAAAAATTGATATTTAAAATTAGTTAGACAAATTCATTATTCATTATTATTTGGAAAAATAATACTGCAATAAGTAAACTTGTAAGCTACTGAAAATTATTTGCTTGGAAAAGATTTATGAATTAACAGAAAAGGAAAAGTGAAGTAAAAATAAACACATCTCTTGATGTTAACTTGCTGGATGGATATCAGAGTTTCTTAGCTAAAATTTATTACGATTTGTGAAAATCATGGCACATTTAGAGCTTTTTAATTGAGAAGCTTGCAGTGAAAGATTTTTTGAACATTTTGAATTCTGAGCATTTAAGTTGTCTAATCAATTCTCTCAACTTTTTAAACACTAGTGTGCACTTCACTCTTAAATATGCTTTTTTGAATAAATATTTACATATATACTTTCATTGATTAATATAAAAGTTATATTATTTGAATACTTTTTCAAACTTTTAACTTTTAGCAGTTTAGATTAAGTAATAAAGATAAAAACAGTGAAATTAGTCTGTTCAACTCTAATGTAAACTCATTTATCTGTAAAATTTAGATCAAATAACAGATTCATTAAACAATATAACGGAGTAGCATTTACGTATTTAACACTGTATTTTATGAGGTGCAAGCTTCATAGTCAGACTTTTCATCGAAATAAAGCTGAACAATTCGCAAACAATAAAAGTTATAAATTTTTTATTATGCATATTCTCTCTTTCAATTAAACACTTATTTTCAGCCTTTAGCATTCATTATAAATATGCGCAACTTGATTACTAATTTACTCACTTATTATTAATAATCTTTTATTATTGTTATTATTAAAAAAATGAATTGTGACAGTGTCGATTGCTTAATGAATAGTATAAACGTGTTGTTTACTTTTATAAATCGAAATGGATGATAATTATTTCAGATTAAAATAAATAACTTTGCGTGCTGACTATAATGGTGAATGAAAAAATTAGTTTATTGTTGATGAAATGTTTGAAAACCAGACTGAAATATGTAAAACTGAACTCACACGGTCGTTCGTTAAGCACACGTAAAATTTCGCCTCGTTTAAATGTCAGTTCGTCTGGCCATTCGGCTTGATTGTCATAAATGGCTTGTGCGACACCAACCTTTAATTATTATTTTTATAACAATGATAGTAATAATAAAGATGAAAAAAATAATAGTAATATCTATTAATGATAATAATTATAATAGTAGTAGCTAGTGATAACATATTAGTAGAATTAAAAACAAATTTAATTTTTTATACTTGAATAAACTGCTTTTGTGAATAGTTTAATTAAGCATATATGCTAGAATAGGTCAACAGAGGTCATAACAAGGTCTTTTTATTCACCAAACAACTTAATAATTAAGAAAAGATACTCTTAATTATTAAGTCATTTCAGCTGACTCACTATTTACTCCATATGTTTGTTCAAGCATATGTATTATTTATAATGTATTAATGTAATTATGGCCGCAGTAAGTTGAAAAAAATTACGCAGATAATTTTGAGCAAATTATCAAGTGCAACTTCAATTAACAATGAGGAAAAAGGAAGTACATATTCACAACATATTTTATGTCATTTTTGTTAAATTAAATAAAAAGGTCACGGAGACTGTCATCAAATTGTAATTGAAATTACTGATGGAATAACAATGAATATGCCTTCTTCATCTCTTTTATTGAAAAAATTCCAGAAGACTTTTTTATTTTCAATTTAGGATATTACTCCTTCATTATTCACAATGTATTTTGTTGCCAAACTAAGTAATATACTGCGTAAATTAAATAATATACTAAGTAAGTTGCATAAATTAGTATAAAGTAATATATAGTGTATGTCGCATTAATTGAATTAAATTTTCTTTCTTTTTTTAGTGAAATTCCCATATATTATATGTAATATATAATGAATAAATTAAATCTACTACTGCAACAGCAGTTATTTCAGATCGGTTTTTTATTTAAGATGGAATTTATCAACATATTTCAGGTCATAATGCCGTATGAATGTTATAGGTCGAGTTTATCCCTATGATTATTTAAGGCGATAAATTCTTTATCTACAAGTGGAATAATGCAAATGTGACACAAAACACACTGATCTCGCAATGACAATTTCTAAGCAAGTAACACGAGGCATATGCATTTTGCATAGGACAACTAATTTAGTTTAATAGTCTAAAAATGGTTTGAACTGTACATTTTGAAAGCTTTAACTAAATCTTTCGAATTTTTTTGTTAAAAACCAATCGAAAGTTTGTGATTAATATTAACTATATGAGATTAATATGAACTTAATTTGAGAACAAATTATTTAATCATCTTTAAAATCAAAAAATCTAAATATCTTAACTAGCAACTGCTAATCCTTGAAATTCAGCAAGACACATTTATTTCATCGAAAATGGTTCGACAAAAAATTTAATTCTAGATGTCCAAAATGAATTTGAAATCATTGTATATAATAAATTGCATAAATTAGTATTAAGCTGTTGTTGAAATGTTTTTTATACGTCTCAAACAAGAATCTTTTTTAAGTTCAAATTTCTGTTAAATTAAATTCTAGGCATTCATATTGGCTATTTCTACGATTCTTTCATTAATGTGTTCAGTAAATATTAAAGTAGCACTGTACAGCTAGCAAATACTCAAATTAAAAAAGTACTTAGTAAAAATATACTCAAAAAATTTGAAAGGTGACTTTGAAAATAAAAGTATCGGCTAGTGATATAATGTGATTGCAAAGTGAAGATATTTACACATATCAATTAATACTCTATTAACACCACTGATAATAATGTTATCATTTGTTTCATTGTTTATTCAAAATTAAAGTATTCAAAGTCGCAAACAGAATGTACATTAAATCATTTACTGATTAGTAAAATAAATTTGTTTTAAAGACAATTTCAAAGATTGGAACTTTGCAGCAACCGCTAATGACTATTTAAACTGCGAAAATGTGCTTTTAGCATCGAATAACTTTTTAACTCAAAATACGAATACAAACGATTTGATTTTTGAAAAATGTATTTAAATATATTAATGTTGATAAAAGTATTTTAATTAGCAAATTAAAATAAGCAATATTTTCCTTTTACAAGTTTTACCTTCGAAATATTTAAGCTTCTAATTTAACTTAATTTAAATTATTCAGAAAAAGATTCAAGCTTAATTGTTTTTGCAATGTTTGAAAGAAAAACAAAGCGTAACTAATATGATCAGAAAAGTATTGTCAGTAATGAATTTTGTGTAACTCTTGAAACTTACACGTTTATATTTGACATAATACACTTCTGAAGCAGAAAAAGAAAACTTTTGAATTAATTGCTGAAGTTACTGCTTACAAAATGTATTTTTGATAATATTAAAAAAACTGTGATTGATAATTTTGGTTGCTTCATCAGCTTAAATATGCCTAAATAAGTGAACAAGTATAAGCTAAACAGTGAAAGCAAAGTTTGTTCTTTCTCTTACAGACATATCCAACTGAAAATCATCAAATGAAGTAAAGAAATATTCAGGCAAAAAAGTTTTCTTAATCCCAAAATTAGAGTAATTAAAAAAATCTCTCAGAGTTATTTAAATAATTCTTGCACATTTTTTTGTTGAAAAAAAGTTGCAAAAGACTGAATTAAGGCTTTGTATATAATGAAATTCAAATAGAAATAGAAATGATTAAATGTACAAATAATTGAGGTTGATAAGAAATAAAATCGAGCAATCATCGTATCACACAACTTACTTTAATCCAAGGTCAACGCAACTCCACTAGACTACCGCCTGTTGTAAAAGAAATCATTTATTAGAATCGAGAAATCAATTACACCAATATTTGAAATAAATAAAATTCCTTCCTAAAGTGACCTTTTCTTTTCGTTAATTACTTTATTATTATATTCTGAAATTCTTAGTCTTTTATCAGCCTTGATATTTTTCTTAACATTTTGATAAACTTTTATTTAATAGTTTTCTCAAGATTTTTTATGATGCGATTTTCTTCACTGGGATTATTTAAATAATAAATATGCATAAAGATTATAATGAGCTCTTCAATCAGCACTAACTCATGAAAATTTCACATGAAAAAGGATAAAGATAATATAATTCACAATAATTGATATATATTATTCAGTAATAATAATAATAATGATAATAATAATAAATAGTAATGATAATAAAATAGTAATATGCTGTAGTTTTTTTTGATTCTAAAATAATTAAAAGTAAGTAAGTAAGTAAGTAGTGTTTTCAAAAACATCACTTATAATTTTTGCATTATTTCAAGACGAAGCGTTATTTGTAGTGATTAAAGGACTTCAGATACTATTTCTCAGTGAGCAGAAAAGCAGTCAAAAATATGAAACTCAAAATGTTATTAAGTTCAAGTATTTTCAATCAATCATATATAGAAAACCTGAAAATAATTACTTACTTTATCAATAAAGTATCTTATCAAACAAGCGATTGCAATACAAAATGAAGCAAATTCGTAGTAATGTTGTGGAAGCAAATTAATAATCGAATTTCGATTTTCAAAGTTGGCATTTTTTGGAAATAAACTAAGCGATCGTATCGCTCGATGATAAGATTTTCGCAGGAATTTCCGAAATTTGCGTAATGCCATCGTTTCAGAAAATTACAATTGAACAAAATGAATACATAAAGCAAATTTATAAAATGCTTTTTTTACAAATTTCAGTGACTTCATATTCTTCTTTGTATCTTTTTAGCCTACTTTGTGCCATAAATTATTTCAAAAAAATGTTCTAAAATTGTAAAAAAAAATATTATGAAAAGTAGAACGGATATTAATAAATAATACAGAAAAATATGCAAAAATAAATAATAAGTGATGTCCAAATAAGCGCATATTTCTTGCAATACTTCCAAATGTATGACTTTCTTACTTTTGCGTTCTCTCTTACGCTCAAGCGCAAATGTTTCATTTTTTATTTTTCAAAGATATTAATATTTTATGACGTCGATAATATTAACAACAACGGTTTTTTAAAATTATTAGGTGATAAAAAAAGCTGCAATAAAATTATTAAGTTGGATGCGTAGTACTAAAATGCTGGTAAACTAAAATTCCTACTATAAGCCTGTTTATTTGTAATACTTTTATTTTGTTATCATTTAAAATAATCAAAATAGAAATCTCAACTTTTCCAGTTTATATTCAATTTTATATTATGGAAAACAAATGCTTACTTTAAAAGAGCAAAAAAAGAAGTAATTTTGATATTTTAAAAAATAATCAAATTATGAGTTTAGCGAGTTTTGGTCTGATAAAGTAATACGGAAACTGAAAATTTAAACGACTATTTAATTTAGTAATATTTTGTCAGTTAACAAGTAGAGTATTAATTTTCACTTCACTTCAAAGCAATTTTGTTATATGCAATTAAATAATAATTCCTCAGCAAATTTTCAAAAAATTTATTGCAGTAATGAAAAAGAAGCAAAAAATTTAACAGCCATTAACTTTGTGCAACTCGAAAATTTTGGACATTTACGTCAAAATCATTCATTCAAAAAATAAGATTACGTATCGCATCGCATATTTTTCCTGACTGATTTTGAATTAAACGATTTTGCTTGCAGGTAAAGCACATGAAGTTTATGTGTATTACAAATAGCTATCAAACAAAGTTGAAACAAAGGAGGAATAGATTCAATTTTAGAAAGGATTGGCCAAAAATTCTGTCACAAATTATTTTTTAGCCAAAGGTAATGCATTTCTTGCAAATTATTAAAGCTTAAATTGAAATATTCCAATCAAAAGTATTGTTTGGTTTGAAGATTTTAAATGAAACAAAAATTAAATTAAATTAAATTGAATTCAATCCAAATAAATTACGGTTTTTTCGATTCTTTCTTGCAAAAAATATTCGCTGCATAATTGCCCATTTGTTAAACTGTTTTCCATACAGTTTGCTTCGTTCTGGCAGTCATGTTGTGATTTCAGCTTCAGAAAAAAACATTTCAGCTCAAGAATAATAACAAGAAGGATTAAAATAAGAAGTTTAGTATGAAAAATAGAATGAGTACTGAGGAATTCGTTCTGCTCAACTAGCATTCACTCACAAGTTTGAACTCACTAATCTCACAATTAAACTTTCTTACTTTTCTGCTTTAGATCATCAATTGTGGCTAATTTCCTTACACAAAATATTGCTGCTTAATTAATTATCTAACTTGCTACAAAGCAACTGCTTTTTTTCTTAATAAAAAACTTTTACCAAAATTATTTTTTGACAAAAGTCAAAATTGAGTTTAATGCAGAATTGGTAGCTTTGTTATTATTTAATTATATTATAGAGTTTTAATAATAAATTCCATTCTTGTCCAAAAACTGAATATTTATAATAAAAAGAAAAAATTTAGTATAAGGTATTAAAAAGTCAGACATAAATATTTATGTCATAACT